TTTTATGGACCTAAATATCGTCCGGCGCAGTTGATGTATAACCTTTTTGAATCCCATAATTTTTTTTTCGGTTTTTCCTTACCTGTGATTTCTGGCGCAATTGACATACACCCTTAATAATAATAATAATAATAATAATAATGATCTTTCGGAAAATAAACGAGCTTAAAATTCTAACGCTGCGTGCCGATGCGTCCGATGAACGTACTTGCTGGCTAGTGACACACGTCGTCGCCTGGGAGATTTTCGAAATCCTCGGTCTTTATTGTTTTGGAAATTATGTATTTATTTCATTAGCAATTCTCAGTTCAACCACTACACTATTTACGCACACGTAAAAAAATGGCACATAACATCAACGCGATAAATGCTACATTGCTCGAAATTCTCGAAGAAATCGTTGTGGGCATTATGAGTGGCAATTATGATGACGAAACAGACGAAAACCTCGTACGAGTCGTAGCATCTCTTCTGTCGGCCGTCGATGATGATTGGACTTCGAGTGCCGACGCGCTCTCACCAGATCCAGAGCCCGTAGAGTTCACTCCGGCTCCCGAACTAGCACCACTCGGAGACGCAGTACAGATAAGAGACGACGAAAAGGCTGACAAATCTGAGGAGTCAATTTTCTTGGTAGGTGATCAATTGTCGAGCGGCGACGCGCTGTCCCCGGACCCGGAGCATGTCGATCCCACTCCGGATCCCGAGGACGCACCCCTCGACGTCACAAGCCTGAAAAAAGACGATACCGTCATTGAAGCCGAGGACTCGATCATCATTTCGTTGGCCAGTACGCCGTCGGATGCCGACGCCCCGTTCTCGGAGTGGGGGCCTGTCGATCCCACCCCGATTTCCGAGAACGGACCACTCGGCGAAGTAGAAGTGCCCGAATTGTCATGTGAAGAATGTGAGCCGGCCAGGGGCGTGGCAGTTGAGAACAGTTTTGGAGAGCTGGTCGGTTGGGTGGACCCGTCAGCGGCACCCGGGAAATGCGTTTCCCCCCGCAGGAGTAGACTATCCGCCGGGTGGAGACGCGTGAAACGCATTTCCCGAGTGTTGTGTTGCTGGCGATACGATGCTACCGTCCGCAGATCCCAGTAGTTCAAGCCCCCTTGGGCAAGTGACGTCGGTTGGAAGACGGCGACAGAAAGAAGGGGAGGATGCGGGAAAGAGCGCGGAAGGTGCACGGCGGTATGTCGCCCAAACACGTTCTCCGACCACCCACGGCGCGACGGGTTTCACTGGCGTGGTGCGCTCGGTCGTAGTGACACGCGAGACCCTCTGGCGGCTCGGCGAGTGTCCGGCCGCAGTACGGTCGCGTGGAGCGACGGACAACGACGACAATGGCACGGCGGCTAGTAGAGGTACCGGCGTCGGCAACGATCCCACCCCGGCGGTACCGACGATGACGACGGCTATGGAGACTCGTTACGGCGGCGCCGGAGACTTAGGGCACAGGAGAGTGGTAGAGATAAGTGCTAGGACCACGGAAGTCAGCGGCGTCGGACCCGCGGAAACGATCAGGGTTTCAGGGTACGGCGGCGCGCGAGACTTCGTGGCCGGCTGTCATAGCAGGGACAGAGACGCGGCTGAAGGGACAACGCCAGGACGAAAATTACCGTGAGTCGAGGACGGCGGTGCGTTGCGCCGCGGTCCGCCGACGATCGCCTTTTCACCCGGCGGTAACCCCAAGTCGGCCGGGTCGTTTGTCCATCGCGATCACCGCCGATTCCGCAGGCGCCAAATCTCGATCCGCTCGCTCCGTGTCTCCGCCGTCCGTCGTCAATGTCGTCACCGTCGACCATCAATAAGCGCCCAACATCGCGCACTGGCCGCCGCCGACCATCGCCCCCGTGGCCGTCTCGGTCTGGCCTCGCCGGCTGGGCAAGGTCGTCACTCGTCCTGGCAAACTCGCCAGTTGACACTCGTCCGTCCGCGGGACCGGTCGTGGGAACGTTGTGGAGGTGACCAGTAGCCAAACGTACAAATTCGCACCCAATCGCCATCCCGCATCCTCCCCTCCTTGTTTTATGTGTCTCCTGACCGATGTATTTTTTTTTTATTCTACAATTTTATCTTGTTTCAATTTTTGTTTGCACCCTTTTGTTGTGATTAACATATTTCAAAATCATTACAATATTTATGATCGACACTTTTTTCGAATTAATAGTCTAATCCTCTCTTTTTGGAATCAAAATTAATAATTATTTTATGTAGGTACACATAAAATGTTAATATAATAGCAACTTTGAGGTACGTAAAATGTTGCTGTACTATTTTTTGTTTTTTTTTTCAACATTATATGTTCAAAGTTTTTTTTTTTTGAACCGTATATTTAAAAATGATGTACAACTTTATGTAACATTATGACTGTGCCACTTACTATGTGCGACGTTTATTTTGTTAAACTAATAAAAAATACTGTTTGTGTACACAAAAATGTATTGTTTTTTCTCTTTTTCATATTGTCGAGTGTATAAATCAAATGTTATCGACTAAGACATGGCGTGAAATACTTTATCAAGTAATATTCATTTCCTGCAGTAACACAACAATTGAGCCTTTTTTTTGATTTTCTTAAGTGAGCATATCATTGCATTTTCAAGTACATATAGCTGCATTCATAAACAGTTTATTTTTTAGAGCGTTCAAGTTTGATCAACATACTGTCATAATAACGTTGTAGGTACACATTGTCTATATTGACGGACCTTTGTGCAGTGTACTATCTACATTCTACATAAATACATAATGGTATATTGAATACGCGTTCGATGGAAGTAATTTATATCACGGTCGTCGTAACTGGTCGGGCTCATTTATTTATATATTATATTATAGTCGTATAGGTATAGGTAATCTATGTGTTACGTTCATATATATTATGTATACTTATTTCGTAGCAGGTATATAATATATTTATGGGCATCATATGGGTTTATACATTAACATTATACACTTTTACCTATATTATATATATATTATATTATTATATATTTATATATTATATATATTAACTATATGGGGGATCGCCGACCTATATTTTCGAAGTGGGGGGGGGGGCGGTATGGAAGTCCCTCATTTACACGAGAATTTGTCCGTTTCGTCGGATACACGCGAGGCATCATTTTATAACGATATGGGAGCGATTTATACTAATTTCTAACAGCGATTAAAATAATTTACAGAATCTGCAACATAAACATATCAAAAAAAAAAAAATGCCCATGTGATATATATTTATACACACAGAATCAAGTGGGCCACTAAGCAGGGGCGAAAGCGTTCGTTAAGTGTGCAACATTGAGATCACGATTCACGATGACGAATGAAACATAATAATAATAATATACTTTTATCGTACGCGAAAAACCAATCTAAACTTCCATCTACATAGAATTGCATTCTTTGAAATTGTGATGTGTAGGTATATATCGTGAACCGGCGGTTCTCAATTTATGTGTGTGGGTGATCTGAGACAATATTTAGTAGGTATTTACCATATTTTTCATACGACCTTTTAGAAATTAATGATCGATAGGATCTATAATAGACAATGAAATCCAGTAGGTATTAATTTAACCAAGTGTTGTTGAAATTATTTGTTAAAGAGAATAGAGATTAAATGCTTATATTCTGTATTGTGTATTATGAAATGTATAACTGTTTTGTATTTCTGTAAAGTATATTATACTGTATTGTTAATTATTTTATTTATTAACACTATGATTTTAATTAATTAACTAAATAGTGAACCTCAACATTGATGAATTGCAGAGAACATTCATATAAAACCTGCAGCACTAATAATTGTACACAATAACAATTAACAACAACTATACGTTTCTCGTCAAAATGTATTTAGAAATAAATAAATCAAATAGATTTGAAACAGTTTGTTTTTCATGCTGGAAGACCTGTTTTCATTCCCAAGTACTAATCATTCTAAGGTTAGGTTAGGTAAATATATTACTATATTAGGATGACGAACACGCATGTGTAGTCAGCATAGACTTTCAAAGTACTTGAGTAAAAGTATTCAAATATTTTTAAACCACTCAGATACGTATTTTAAATACTTTTACGTAGTATCTATATTTAACATCAAATATTTTACTAATTATTTTTAGTCTATTTATTTTAATTTTGGTCACGTAAAATAAAAATAAAAATTCATAATAATCTACTTTTTTTACTGGGGATTACACTCGATCAAAAATCAAATACTTCAGATTGTATCCTATTACTTGACAGAGAAAACGATTGGGTAATTTAAAGTTCCATTAAATGATACAGTGTAAAATGTATGCTATTATACTATGTATGGAATAAATTTTATAACAAAATTGGAAATTATCTATAAATTTTTTTTTCTGAGTACTCAAATACGTCGGTATTTTAAATATTTTTCAAAGTAGTCAAAACAATCCATATAAATGATTTTACGAAAATAAGAAATAGATTCATCCTAAGTAACAACACAAGTTAGATAACTCAAATTTATTCTCATAACTCTTGCACGAATTTTGGTTCTGATACATCTTTATTAAATATTATTATGTTCTTGGTGAATTGTAATACCTAATACAATTTGAAAAATATTAAAGATTTTACGTTATGACGGTACCCATTTTGTTAATTGTTTTTAGTATGTAAAATCAAATTCATGGTGTAACCCAAAAATACTCGAACAGTTTGTTTTTGACAGATATTTCAATTTCCAAGTTCATTGATATATTTGAATAAGAAATAACAATTATAGATCTCTTTCTATCTCCACAATATTCAAAAAACATTTAGTTAATTGTATGAATATACATATATTTTTTTCCTGAAAGTAATTTCGATTTCGGAAAAAATAAATCAGCAAGAAATGCAATGTTACCATCTTCGAATTTTATTTTTTTCTAGTTGATATTGATTATGGCATTAATATGATTAATAGTTTATTTTAAGATTTAAAAATAAGGTTTTGATTCTTTGAATCGCAATAGTTTGATTAAAAAATTAGATTTGTGGTTTTCGTAGTATTTCTCTATATTTTTATCATATATTTCAAATAGATTGTAAGTCATTAAAATTGAAGAATATATTAGTAATTCGTCTGATGTGAAGGTAAACTTATTTACACAAGTGGTTTTATTAAACTTAACACTAAAGGAAATATTATTTTTAATACTGATTGTGATAAGTTGGTTTTAATTAAGCACAAAAATATTGATGAATATTGTAAAACTTAGCGAAATTAATGTATCAATAATATGAAAGCTTGGTTTGATAATAATTTTCTAGAAACTGAACGTTAAACAGTTTTTTAATAATGTAACCAGCGATATAGTTTTTGGGTTTGATGTTCCAACTGTATCATATCTACATCATAATTAATTTTTGTCTTCTTTAAACCATCAGCGACTATTTCCTCAACAAGAACATCAGGGTCCGCTTGTGATTTTTCATTAGCAAAATAAATATTGAATAATGATGTTTGATAGGTGTCAAACAGTTACTACCTAAATAATCTTAACAGTTTCATCATGGTGAATGAGATGACGTCAAATTATGTAATACGAGTTGTATATAACGACGCAAACATGGAATAACTTAGATTATTGTTGAGATATCCCAATCCTCTTACAGCACCAAATACATTTTCTAAAGAGTATTGATTCAAATTTCAAAGCAAAAGGGAATTTACACCATTATCATTCATAATTTTGACAACATCTTGAAATCCTGAAAAATTAATATAAGTTAAATAAATATTTAATTATATTTTAAGTATCAACTGCTTATTAAAATAACTACCTTTTAAAGTTCTAATCCAATTTTTAACTGTTGGTGGTTGAATTGATTTTTCTTTGGTGACTGGGTTGATAAAGTACATACTTTCCGATACTTGTATTGATTCTCTCCATAGCTGGTGGTGTGGAGAATTATTTTTTACAGAATTACAATATATTTTGCCATCAACAACTTTGTGAAAGTTGCAATTTACTGAATCAAAAAGTTTGGCAAAGAACCAACATAACGTGGTTGTATCATGAGATCGTTGATTTTCTATGTTCTTAGCTAAAATCAAATGTGGTATGTTAAATTGAATGCATACCAAATTTTTATATTTTATTAATTTAATTACTCACAAGCTAAAAAGTACAAAATAGCTGCGACTCTCTGGCTTAATACTTGGCAAGCTAATTTTACTTTTATTTTGTTTATTTCTGTTGGAATAACATGTTGTCTGGTCAGTCGGGGTAACATTATAACTTCTTGAATATTACTGTCCAACTCAAACAAATCAATCATATCTTTCCAACAAGCGTCTTTTACATTGCCATTTATTGTAAAAACTAAGTTTTTATTTAACATATTATTCCACACACCTGTTATAAATATTCAAATATTAAGTACATGTGTTAAAAATATTAAACTATTTGAGTCAATGTACCTTTAAGTAGATGAGGTGGATCATACAAGTGAATAATTGTAATTCTTTCAGCCCCATACTTTACTTTGTAACCATTATCATTATCATCATAGTTTTGATCTTTACTCAAATAATATTGTTTTCTTTCTGTTTTTAATACATTAATCACAGCAGTATTGGTAGCTCCTTGATTGCAGATGGTGACAATGGCTTTTAGACCAGTAGAAGTTATAGCTTGAATGACGTTTTAATTTGGTTTGCCAAAACAAATTTATTTGTGGTACTATTACAAAATGTATATGAAATTGGCTGCTTATAGTTTTTGTCATGCCTTTTTTACCATAAAAACTGAGGCCGAAAAATTTTGAATCCGATTTAAACCATTATCTCCAAATTCTAATATTGAGCCTGCACTATGGAGTCATAATGTAGTTGAGCGTCTAGGCTTACCTCATCAAATAGTATCACACAAAATCTTTCTTTTTCTGTAAGTTTTTGTACATTTGTATGTAACACTTTCAAAAAAGTTTTATCTATGCCAGTAGTAATAGGTATTTTTGATAGTAATGCTGATAGGGTTTTTGGTTTTTCGAGAAGTTAGTGTAAATAATTTGGAGAAAATGATAAGATTTAGTACTTGACATTTTCTCAGCTGCTTTAAGACGTTGTCCAAAAGTTCTACATTGTGTTCATTCACGTCTTAGCTGTTTTCATAGCAACAAACTAGTTGTGTATAGTGACTAACACTTAGATGTCAACATTTTGGATTTTGAACACACAATTTTGGATAACAAACCTGAAAATTAACAAAATTTTATTCTTGGGCAATAGTATAACACTAAGTTTTGCTTTATGTAGTTTTAACTTGTGTGTAATTTCAAAATCAGATTTCATGCACAAATCCTAATAATCTAATTCTGGCAAAACTAGTGTACTTTTCCTAATAAATTATTTTTAGAAAATTGATATAAAACATAAGCGTAGAAAAAAATAGGTTAGGATCTACTATTGAGTATTATAAAATATTAATTAATTGTATATAAAATCTAGAAAAATATTTAACTATATTAGTATTGACTACGTGTTTTTCAATTCAATGAGCCAAAATTCCCAACGCCTATGAAATTATAAAATACTGAAAATTCTTAATATAAATCATAACCAATTTATTTACATTTCATCCAATTAGATTTCTTTACACAATGAACAACCATATTTTCCTTTGTTTTAACATCAACTATCATAAACTATATTACCATAAGCTATAAACAAAATCAAATACATGTCATTTGAAAATTAAGTCTTGAGAAAAATAATACAAGTATGGGCGCCCACTAAAGGTGTGATCTGCCGTTTTCAAGCACCCCGCGAAAAATAATAAAACTGTAACTATAGTATTATACGACATTCTATACTCTTTATTACAATATATTTCAGTGGCCTTATGAAATTTGGATAATCCAGTAAGTCAGCAACTATGAATACAAACATATTATGTTCAGTTGATTGCAGTGAAATATAAACAATTTATTTTATAACGTAACTTACATGAAAAATATTTTCTTCAAATGTGTTCAATAATTTGAAGCCAGTTAACCCAAAGAATTTTTCATTTTCATCAATGTGAAGGCATGGTGATCTTTTCTGAGTTGAAGTTGATGATCTAGATGTGTTATCATCAACTAAAATAATAAATCCAATAAATTTTAATTATAATGAGATTCAATTTAATAATATATAATATGCGTATATTTACCATTTGATTTAATACGGTCATTGATCATAATTTCAGGAGTTGTAGTGTTTGAGTTTTTAGCAATACCTTAACATAAATATATAAATGAAATAATTACCAAATCATTATTTTGGTTAATATAATAGTATTACTTATGTTCAATGAAGGAACAGCATTGCGGTTCAATGCTTTAGTACTAGGACTGTAACAGGTAGACTCAAAGTGATCAGAACAGACTCTTTTTTTCTTAAATACTATCACAAGACTGTCTCTGTTGAGTTGTTGTACCGACTCTCTAATTATCCACGTAGCATATTCTCTTAGAGATCTGGAAGTACTGTCTCTAATCTAAAAAATAAATATAATTGACATAATTCAACCACAATCAAAACAACAAATCATGTTTATTCAAAAAAATACAATTATTACCGTGAGGTTGTTTGTGCGCTGTTGAAATTCTACAAAGAACTGATTTTCAACAACAATCAGTCTTTCTGTTTAGAAAAAAAAAATATATTTAAATTAATATTTGATAATATAATATTGTTGACAGTAAAAATAATTTAAAACAATTTGATTTCATGCTACAGACACTAATAAAAGCGATATATTTATAAAGCACAATTAATATTCATCACACAACTAATATTTATAATGCAACATTTACACATAAGTTAGTATTGTAAGTAATAATTATTTCAATTTCTCAAAACAAACTATATACTATATTAAAAACTAATATTGATAGAACTTACTAATTTTATTCTTAAGAATTGTTCTTACACTGTTGATTATGTTAAACATGTATAGGATAATGCAACATAGAGATCATAGCATTGTAAAGTGCAACTATGACAACTCACGAAGAAAATTCCAAATATTAGGGTGGCGTCCAATTTGTGTGAGCAACGTTGAATGGAAAGATTCTAAGTAATTGTTGGTCCGGTGATCTTGACCAAAAACGCTTAAGCGCCGTGGACCAATTTGCACATACCAATAATCAAATACATAGTCCCTCAGAAAACAACTCATAACCTCACTGATGTCAGGAAATTGTAAGGTGTACGCGACAATTGTATGAAAACCATCTTCCATACAAAATTTAGGGCACCCGGGATTACCCATTTACCCCTTTCAGCAGGTAGATGAGGCAATGCTAAAACCTGAAATATAAAATACAAATTAAATACAACAATGTTTACCTTTAAACAAAACTCAAAATTACCTCCTATTCTGAAAATACGAGCTGTCGCTTTATGCCTCTTCACCAAATTCAAGACACCATTAACTTTTAGGTGACAATATCTAACAACTGACTGTAAAATGCATGTAGATTTTAAATAAATATAATTAGGTTTACCTGGCAGGTATGATAATAATGAAATTTTTTATTGTACTTGCGTAAAATGCAACCAACAGCAGAGCAAATCACTATTTGGAAATTTTTGCTGGACAGCATTCATAAGAGCACGCTCATAATCAGTTACAAAACGGATTCTGTCATAATTCGGTAGTAGAATATCGCATATGACAGTGAATAACTCAGAGTATATTTCTTCCGTCTTTGTGAAAGTTGCCATTTACTGAATCAAAAAGTTAGTCAAAGAACAAACATAACATAGCTGTATCATGAGTTTGTTGATTTACTATGTTCTTAGCTAAAATCAAATGTGGTATGTTAAATTAAATGCATAATTTTTATATTTTATTAATTTAATTACTCACAAGCTAAAAAGTACAAAATAGCTGCGACTCTCTGGCTTAATACTTGGCCAGCTAATTTTACTTTTATTTTGTTTATTTCTGTTGGAATAACATATTATCAGGTCAGTCTAGGTAACATTATAACTTCTTGAATATTACTGTCCAACTCAAACAAATCAACCATATCTTTCCAACGAGTTCATTTTTTCTGTAGTTTATTGAAATGGAATATTAATGATGATTAAGACCATGAATTAGAGCCTAAAATGAAAAATAAGATATAAAACACACATATCATATTATATTGTTTGAAACTTGTTAAGTTCTCAACAATTATTAATAAAAAATAAAAATCAATTTTTACTGACTTGAACTGAAGGTTTTTGTAAATGTCCCAAGTTACTAGTAGTTTATCTTGGTTCTTGGCCAAGTACCATCATATTGGGGTTGATTAAACGGAAGGCATCAATACCTTTCCTAAATAATATTAAATAACAAGCTAAATTAATTTTTTATTCTTTATAATTAAAAGAACAAATAATTAAAAAGAGTGAATACATACTATATTTGTTAAATTTTAAATAATAATATATTTTTTTAAACAGAAATTAAATTTTTATGTTCATAGACACTATTGAAAATTGTATATTATCAGTTTGAAAGAGTTTAATAGGATATCGTACCCACATTTGTTGTCTTTGTCTTACCAATGCATAACATACAAAAATATACATCAAGCAGTTCCAATTTTGAGTGAGTAATTAAAATATTAAAGTGACTTATACTCTATTCAAAATGAGAACTGTAATCAGTGGCGGCAATGAGTTTTCACCTACGACGGTCAGACCCATTATCAGACCAATCTCCCACAGATTGTAGCTTTGCCACTCGCAAGGCCAGTACTTTGAAATTAAGCCATACCACAAGTTACAAGTTGGCTGCTGACTACTGTTTTTATATTTAATTGATTATAATATTATGAAACTTTAAGGTAAAAATATTATGTGTTTCATCATTAGATTTTTATAATATTTTAGTTTTCAAATAATTTATAAGTATGTAAAATATTAATATTTAGAAATGGGCATAACTGACCTAAAAATTTAAATATTGTTAAAAACCTTTGAGATAACACTTATAATGTAACCTACCTATACGTTTAAAAATAGGTTAATTAGCTCTAATATTAAAAAACTAAAAACTTAACTGCCAGAGGTAAATTATGGTATATTATGTACTTATGAGTTATAATCTATTCCACGAGAGAATTATCACTTTTCGCACATCACAAATGATTTGATTGGCAAGTAGAGAACCACATGATCACTCAATTGCTGGAAAATTGATGGGAGATGCCCAACTAACGAGCATTGGTAGGCGGACTAATTATTCTCTCGTGAAATAGACTACAGAGTATAGTAAGAAATAAGAGTACTGCGTTTTCATAAGGTTAGATGTAATATGATGTAGAGATTTATTTGTATAATGAATAGAGCTTTATATGATGGTTAGTAGGTAAAATGAAACTCATAATCTGTTGGATTAAAAAAATACATAGTTATTTCCAGTATTGAACTAACAGACGATTAAACATTGAACTAATATGACATTAACATTACATTAATGCAATTTAAAAATCAATTATATTATTTTAACAATATATACCTAGGTAAATATAAATATAGGGGGTAAATAATAGTATATAATTATAGGTACCTAATATTTATTTGTTTTAAGATTTTAACAAATAAATTATTTTAAGTGTATTATACTGATATATTATTTTTAATTTAGTTGTTACACTTTAAACACCATAACCCAGAAGTATTCAAACTGTACATAAAAGGCTTATCTTCGAGCCACAATACCAAAGAGTAAAAAAATATAATTATGATGTTGGCAATTAGTGTGTAATGATAATAATTTTACTATAAAGAACTTAAATCTTATTTTATTCATTTAATTTTGGTTTTCTATACTTAATAGATTTTTTTACTGATAATTGATATATTGAAAAAAAACACATTTTAATATGTTAGTATGCCCTTCAAAATTTGAAAGTTATCTTAACATTTTAATGAGAAGATGTTGGAAAAACAAATTAGAATTCCTCTTCCATAAACATTCACAAAATATTTTTCATTAAAACTTTAACTATAAGTTAAAGTATACTTCAATTATGGTTGGCATTTCACTAAAATCATTTATACTTGACATACAAAAAATCACATTAAAATAACTTGGGATTATACCCATAAATTATTTCAGTGGTGTGTGACTTAGGGTCCAAGTATTGCTCAGGCAACACCTTAAATATGGGTGGGTGGGTATTGATAGAAGAAAAATAGGACATTTTATAGGTCGGTTCAACAATATACAAAGTAATACCTTTGACACTTTGAATAGGGACAACTACAACGGCAACAGCTCTTTCGGAGAGGGCTTCAAAACTTTGTTGTGTATTAATATCTAAACCAGATAACCAGCACCCAAACCCTGGATGTGAATGATACCATCCAACAACCATCTCTGACCCGACTGTTTGTTTCAACATATCCTCAACATCTTTGCTTGGAATACTGGGTCAACAGCTTCAACACTTACATCCTGAAATAATTAATTATTAACATCAAGTGAAAAAAATAATAATGGTAGGTACACATTCTCATGGTTCCAGTTTGAGGCATAGCGAATACATCAATAACACGTACAGTGCAATCGTCCACAAATTCACCTAACATCAAGCCCATAACTTCCATAGGAACTCTAGCTCGTCCATGTTTCAACATTTTTAACAAGGCCAATGATGACACATAAACTTGTTCAGCAGTGTCTACAACAGGAGTATCGGCAGCAGAAGCCAACCCTTGTCCCAAGGGTATACCTCCGACCAACCTCAATAGACGATCCATAACTTTTGAACTATCAGCAAAACAAAAGAGAATAAGTTACAAACCAAGGGTTAATGTTTAAATTCTTACAAACTGAATGATAAAATAATATAATATGACATATCTGTGTCGTCGGTGGTCAAAATCGAATTTGTGAGTACTGAGTGGATACTAGACAGTGACTAGCATGACAAAATAAACACTAAAACAATAAAATAAATAATATTTTGTCATGATGGTCAATACATGAAAAAATTAGCAAATATCCTATGAGAATTTGAAATTGAGAAGTATGAAATGAAATATTAAATTACCGAAAACTGAAATACCGACGGCCAACTTACTTATCAATGGTTTGGCTGATCGCCAAGGACATTGTAGATTACTACTATACTAGCGCTACTGGTGTTCGGTGTGCAGAAACTTGGTGTCTCAATATTGCCCATAAACGTGACGGGTACAGTCACAGATATATAAAAATACATAAAAATATATAAAATTTTTTATATATCTGTGGGTACAGATTTCTCGATTTAGATAACAACTGATAACAGTGAACCTGATAATAAAAAAAATAAATGGCAAAAAAAAACCTACAAAAGTTAGAAATAATCCCAATTCCTGCGTCGCTCATCAGTACGATTAAAGACGGTAAATGGTAGTAGTTCCGGCGTCCACAATATGTGAGGCGCTTATCAAGGTAGTACATGTACCACACAAGAACCATGGGATTGTACAATAATTCTTAATTTTACCGTGCTCCTTATTAATACACACCATAGAGTAATTGCTCTAGTTATTACTCTATGGTATAAGGTCTGTCATGGTCTTAGCCCTGGTATATTATGATAGTATAAGTCGTGATATCAACTTCCTTATAATTTTCAGACAACTGCCCCCTACTCGATCGATTACAATGATGTGTGTTTGGGCCACATCGCCGATGGACGTCGCGTCGGGCGTCGAACATTCGCGAAGTCTTACCCCGCCACACCTCCCACCATTTGGCGTGTCTTCAAACGAGGGTTAACGCCGCCGTTGAGGCGTCGACACTCGACGCTAACCAGTTCTTGATGCATGTTCTTACGGAGACGTATATCGACTCTCGAGCCCTTGCGTGTGTTTGTCAACGCTTATCCGAGTTCCGTCGCCGTCATTTTTACCGTCGTTTTTCGTTTTTGGTCGACCTCGTGGTCTCGTCGTACCAGCCACCAGGTACGTCGTTACGCAACCCCCTTTGAACGAGTCGACCACCGTCGTCTGACCTCGTGGTCACGTATTTCCAGGGTGCATCTTCACGCGCTCCTGGCCCGAGTCGACTGTTCGTCGTGCGTCGTCGCCGCGCCATTGTTCGCACGTGTCATCGACCTCTCCCGTGCTTTATACAGCCCCACGTTGCTGTCACGTCGAGTGCGCTACCTGACCAACCACCACCTGAACGCTGAAGTCCGCCGTCACTCAAAACTTAGGACCCCCGTGGTTTCTGTCCGTCGCCCGTCACGGACCAGTCACCAGTGCGCCGAGCGCGAAACGCGCTGACGCAACTAGTGCCAACCCAAGCTGGTCACGTAAGCAGTGTCGTCTTAACCTGGTAACTGGTTGGCCGTCCTGTTTTCACCACCACCGCAGTCCAGGCGTCAGCTGCTGTCGGATTACCACCTTCAGATAATATGTTGTTTTTATATTGATTAATATCTAATTTTGTATAATTTTTGTACTATTTTTCATTAATACCTAACCTCTGTAAACCTAATTGCCTAGGGTGTCCTTTTTTATTGTAACAGTATGATACCTTAAACTCCTGTTATCTCGAGTTTTATTTCCGTGCACGTCGCAATCATCGCGCGGCGTGCTTTTACATTTATGCTGAGCACGGTTGTTAAATCATGTTGAAGCGTAAGAATCTCGTCAGTCGAATCAGCGCCCACACATATTATGTCGTAGACATATGATTGCTGCAGAATCGCCTATCGTACAGCATTATGACCAGCACAGTCGTGATCTGCGATGGCGACTTATAAACGGAGAGCCAAAAACGTAGCGCAGTTCAAACCGTTGGTCACCGTATTTAATTTGTATTCTACGAGTTGGTCATGCGGAGATGCTCGCCCCAAAATATATTGGAGGGGACGGTACTCGAGCGCTACTAAGACTTGCTGGTACATCTTACAGATATCTGTGATGAATGTCAGCTTGTGCACCCTGAATCGAGTCAGGATATAAACAAAATCCTGCTGCAGTTTTGGACCCTGGTAGAGGCAATTATTTAACGACGCCCCGTGGTAGGTTGTGTCCGCAGCGTCAAATACGACCCGAATTTTTAAGTCGCCCTCGGACTGGTGGTGGATGATGTATCGCACCGGAGTAGATGCCACTGACTTGTGTCTTTTTCTAGCCGATTTTCTGATAGCCGGCGTCGACTTGCAGGCTGTATCACGATATCCATATTATCTCGACTCCTATCATCGTGCTTCTTGTTTTTTTCGGTTATTTTTCTACTACTCGTTGTCGCTGTACATAATATATTAGTGTGTCACTCACTGTCACTGTGTCGTTCGCACGGTAGCTTTATAGTTTATCCTCGTGAAGGCTACATTCCGCTACAGATCCTAACGTCCTGACGCACCGACGTGGATCGGTCAAGTGGCAGGTTTTGAAAACCACTCAACATGGTGGAGAACCAAGTGGTAACAGAAAATCAGCAAGAAAAATATGTCAAAACGACGTCAAACATTATCACCTAATCCACCGAAAACTAATAATATCAAAGCTGGCAGTAAATCTACTAAAAAAGTTCATACGGTCGTTGATGAAAGAGTACTCTAATTATCTAGGTTAAAACCTACACAAATTAAACAGGATTCAGCAATCTGGTATGTAGAAAATAAAGGAGAACATGATTATATTGAAGATATTATTAAAAATTAAATATTAGACAACATTCAATGGGAATGTGAATCAATGTTAGCTGATTTAATTGTACACAAAAGACTTTAGGTCGAGCAGAGCTACGTAAATCTTTTTTTTAAGTTCTACAAGCAGTTGTTCC